GTATTTGAGGGCAACAGCGCAGAGGGATGAAGTGGAGGAGAGTGATGAAAGGGAGGAGGAAGAGAGTAGGGTGAAGGAGAAGGAGAGGCGAGAGGGTTAAAGGCTGCGACAGAGCATGGGGCAAAAATGGTCGAGGACGACTCGAGGGAGTGAGTAAGAGAGTGAGTGGATGTGGGAGGTGAAGACAGGAGCAGAGGGAGGGGAGGAGGAGTGATGGTGGAAGAGGGAGAGGGAGAAGGACTAGGTGGGGGGAGGGAGAGGTGAATGAGAGAGAGAGATCGAGGAGAGAGATGCTGGGTGTTTTTGCAGAAATTCAAGATTTATGGGTAATTTTGTAAATATGAGAATTTTAAGGGTATATATTTTTCATTCACCACTCAAGTCTTGCTGTCGGTGACTGGATAGGTCTTATTGGCTACACGGGATCACTTTTATACCTTATTGTCGTCGGCCAAAAAGTATACCTTATTGGTAAAGAAGTGCTACTAAATATACTAATCTTGTAATTTAGCCAAATTTATTGCATTTTCCAGATAAATTTATTTTACGTGACTATGCATCCTAAGAACCTACCCTCAGGTCGCTTCATACCAAGTTCCATAGAAATATTGATCTATCATATGCCTCTTTTAAAATATTGCATTTTTCATTCTTGTTAGTATCTTTTTAAATCTGCGATATTGCTCAAATATTTCCTGCCTGCCTCCATATTCCATTCATATGCCATGCCTGTAAACTTTCTGGTGGTGTTTGGAGCTTCACCTCCTCAAAAGATGACTGGTTTATATCTGATAGTGCTTCCTACATCCTCCTGTAGAAAATTTTCAATTTCTTGTGAAATACACATAGCTGGCTTTTTGCGAGACATTACTTTCCACGCTTTAAAGAGCTTATGGTCTTTGCAGGTTCGCTATGCATTTGAGCTGCTCACAAATCCGTTGTGGAAGAGAGATTATGACATTTTTGGTATTGATGAGCAGCTGGTGAGACAAGTTTTTTTAATGATTATATAACATATTGAAGTTCATATGTTTGACGCTTTGTTATCATCTACTCTGATATAGTGGGTTGTCGAAAAGGTGAAAGAGGCAAATGATGGGTTAAAATTTTCTGATATCCAACTACCATTACTCCAAGCATCTTCATCTGGTCAGCTAAGTTACTATAGTGAATTTATTTGTTGTTGATAATTTTATATACCTGGAAGCATTTTTACCTGTCCTCGTTTGGATTAATAATTCACACATTTCCTTGGCTCTGTTTCAGATAAGACTATCCAGCCCGTCAACATGGTCACATCTGAAAATTTCATTTCTAAACTTGGTAAATCGAGAACAATGTTAATACAGGTCAGATCACTGCTATATTATATGATTGTTATGATGACATGATTTTTTTTTGTAGAGCAACTATCTTCATGAACTGCGCACCATTAATTTATTGTCCTGACTCATACCACCTGTTACATGATAAGTTGCAATTAAGTTGTTTAACTATTATGCAATTTATGATATAGCAATTTGCCAATGTAGGTTTATTCAGATGGCAGTCCTCGCTGTATCAAATTTATCAGTACATGGAAAATGATTGGTAAGTGTTTCATTTCATTGAAAATTCAGTGCTCAAACTTGCTCATTGCTTATGATGATTGGTTTTCTGCTCTCATTATGTCAATGGGTTTATAATTTATTACTTGAATTAGTTATCTGTAGAGCATTCGTCATGTCTGATTGATATGATGACCATTCCTTATTAAATTAGCTTCAGTTTGATCTAGTGCAGGTCTTGAGGCTGTAGACATATATGTAATTTAGATGTATGGATATAAGCTTTGCACTTTTCTCTTATCCCTTGCCTTTATGGCTAGATTTCTATTTGCCAGGTGAACAATCAATTAGTCTATGTTATTTCATCTTTATAATTAAAAGATATAACTATGGAGCCTCTTCTTCATAATCAATGAAAATATAGAAAAAATCTTCTGTTCTTTTATTCCAACGGTTGTCAATATGCAATTGACCATTTATCATAAGCTTGTTATAAACTTTATTTTTGGTTAGAATTTAGAACTAACATTTTTGCAACAATACATATAACTTGATTGAACACATACATATGTCCAACTCAAACAAAGGACGAGGATTCTCTTTATGTTGCTTGACCTATTGATGTTCATTTGCAAAAGTCTATTGTTCAATTTTGCTTAGACTGTTAAACTTCCACTTCTAGGGTGTATTTTTTTGCAGGTGTGGTGTGGATAGGACGATAAACATCCTTATTTACAGTAATATATGTCCTAGAAACTATGTACCACAATGTACCTGACTTTGGCCCTTCGCTTTGTCCCATCTGTTTTGTAAGTTTAGACGTATTATGTGACATGTCCAAATAAAACAGAAAGCTGTAAAAGAGCCAGCCAAAAATCCAGCAACATTTCTGATCTCCAACACATGCTTGATGTTAGGCTATTTGTCAACCTCACACCATAAGGTGCATTCCACGGGTGTAATTCTAGGATAGAATGCATTTGGGGCTCTTTTCAGATTCAGGATCAATTCTTAAATATACTTACAAAGTGCACCATGGGTTGTGTTACTTGGAATATCTGAGTGTTTGCTATAATATAGCTTTAGATGCTGTAACACGTTTAAAATAATAAAAAATAAAGCTTAAGTAGTGAAGTACAAACCAATGCAGAAAATCCAGAAAAGTATCAAAATGCAGAAAAACCTGAAACTGCCATTCAATGCGCACTACTGCACCTTTATGTGAGTGTACGGTTTATGCTTGACAAGAGATGTTACCTGCATTAAAAACTAGTTAATTGCATGTAAAAGCAGTCTTTAAGTTAAAATGTAAGCATGAGTAGTAAGCTTAATGATGTACTCTTTAAAGTTTAATAAGCTACATTATCTGGGTACTCCTAATCTGAAGCCCTGCCTGTACCCAACTTGTACCCGTATCCATACTCGAACTCCTTCGACACTCCTTGCATATATGCATACATTTATTTGGGCATATACTCAGTTATTCGGTACATGTTTTAATTTAAAACACTTGTCATACATTTTTTGGACATGTAACCTACACTTCATATTCACTTCTTGAAACTCGTTGGGGATAATCTAGACAGGTCATATTCCAAATTATGAGTTTGAAGGATTGGTTGGATGTCTAGTTCAAAAAATAGTGATTTTCCAGTTTATACTCTTCATAATAAAAAGGCATAAAAATGTTATAGGAATTTTATTCCAATATATAATCTATGTGTATATAAGTATTTATATAGCCGTGTCCCCATACTCTACCTTTTACAAATTTGCTATGTCCCGTACCAGTACCTGTATCCATGCAACATGAATAATAAGTCTTATCAGAGCATCTATCGTGCACAGGCTAGAACTCAAGCATGCAACCATGTTAAAATTTCAATTCTTAAATATCGAATGAAATGACTAATAAGTTAATAGCCAAATGTCCACTAGGCACATGTTGAATAGGTGGGCATTATTGTCTCAAAACACCTCATGAATCTGCCCTTAAAAAAATTATGCGTTGCACATGCGGCCTCATAACCAAGATGTATTCTTGGCCGCATAACTGCCACGTGGCCATTTTTTCCGTCTGCCCAAGGGCTTCATACAATGATATGAATGTGCGTTTGCATTTATCTGATTGCATATGCTTTTATACCGATCTATGGTCTTGCAGTCAACTGTGTCATATTGTATATAGTACCAATGAAGTTTTTTTTTTCTTTTTTTTTTGTTCTTTCATACTCATCTTCTATGTACTCATTTCCTGGTTGCATTCCTCAATTTTATAGGTTTGTTGACTGCAAAATAAAGCATAAGAAAGAATGTTCATATTTATATTCTATGTATTCTTTTGCATGTTGCATACCTCAATTCTGTAATTTGATTTATGAGCAAATAAAGTATAAAAAAATCATTGAAGTAGTTTTCAGCTTATTTTTCTCAGAATACTCTGTAGCGCTGCAGGCTCTTGTCTAGCAATTGATAATATTTGTTTCAAAATTTTCCTTACGTGCTAATTTTATGTGTTTAGCACTTGACTTGCTTGGATGGACTTGCAGCTAATTTATTGGATGAGGTTGTGGACACTGGCATGGTGGAATTAGGTGATGTTCAACTAGCGTCTTTCTTTGCAGAGAGGAAGCGTACTCAACAGCCATTTTTTCGAAATGGTAAGACTCACTTTTAGTGATTTATGCTATTATTATTCGTATTGGATATTTCAAGAGCCTAGATTTCATGCAACAAGCCATTCCGTGAGAAATTTGCCGACAGATTGTATCATAAAATTTTGACCTGATTAGTTTAAATCCATGTGAGAAGTTCTAAAATGTTACGACTGTGTGGAACTACTTACGGAAATATCACATAAAAGTCAATCTGGAAACTGAGAGGAGCTGGTCAGCATGTAAAGTGGCCAATGTTGTAATCTATTTTTATTTGAACAAATATTCTGTTTGTAAACTAAAAGAAATTGGTTGTTAATATTGGAAATATGAAATATGGTACAATTTTTTTCGGTGGACGGTGCAAATTGATTTGATATATTATCAATCCCAAAATTCATTACCTTAATCGCAAGGTCCAGCAATAGATCATAATTTCCAATCCAATCCAGTCCAGGTAATCTGAATATAAAAGTCTATTAATGTGTAGATTGTAAGAAAATGATCCTGATTTTTGAAGTTCTTGACAACATTCGCAACATGGATTTGAAAGATTACTCTCCTACTGTATAAGATGATAAGTGTTTTTCTTTATATATATTTCTGAGTCACAAGAAGGTATTATAAAGCATATAACATAAAACAATTTTGATGTGGCTCATCACAAGTGACATCTCATCATGAAAAAATTCTAACTGTTTACAGAGGGACCTTGTCAATACTTTTCTCGTGCTACTTCTAAGGATTTAGAATACTTCTGAACATACTTATCATCAAACATCATCAATATCAATGAATTGTTTTTTTTTTAAACTGCGATTAGCTATTAATCACAACTCAATGAAAATTTTCCAAAACTCAGAATCGTTTCACTGCTTTGACTTTGAGTTTTTTCTAATTTATTTGACCAAGCAAACTGTAGGAGAGAGACCATGCCTGATTGTAGAAGCCAAGTTAGAAGATAGGGACACCTATTATGCTGATTATTTTGAAAATTTATCTCCATAGTTGTTTCTTTATAGACTGGTGTTTTGACCTATTATTTGCACTACATTTTGATTAGATAAGCATTCAACTCAAGCTATCATCCATGCAATCCAATAAAACTAAAAGAACAGGAAAGTGTTGCAATATAGCCTTTGATAATTTTTTTAATATTCATAATAGCATAAAAATGACCATAGCATCACTTGATAATTGGTGCAGGTGTCCCTGCTCTTGTTGCATTTCCTCCTAACTGCGTAAGCTCAAATTGTTTTGTGAGGTTAGCTTTGATCAATTTGTCTAGCATTGTAACTTTTATATTCTTGTTAAATTATTTCAAGAGACATTCTAGACAATAAATATACTATGTTTAGGCCATATTTGTTGTGAAGTCTCTCATACATTGGTAATACTTAGTAAAAGAAAATTTTGTTCGGTTGTTATGCCTTTTATTTTACATAAATTCCCATCGTAGGTATCAAGGAGATCACACCGTGGATGCAGTTATTGATTGGATGGCTACAGATATACTTGGTTTACCTCGCATCCTATATTACACGAAGGAAACTTTGGTAACTCTTAATTTTAGATTTTGGCTCCATTAACTTTAGCAATTATAGAAAATTTGATTGATTAAGCAGGCATGTGTGTGGAATACTAGATACGAGCTCCGACCTTATTTAGCAATTTGAGCTAACAAGAGATGAAGTGGTGAGGCCGATATGCTCCAATGTGATTAGTAGGGTAGGCCTCGCCACCGATCTATCTTTTGGTGGATCATTGAGTAAAATGAGCTGCCACCTCATAACCATTTTTCCATACATAAATGCATACATACATGCGTACATATTGAATGTTTTCCATGATACTTCCAAATTATATTTAGCTTACATTTATTGAAACTGGTGTTGAACTTCCTGAAAAGTTATGGCTGTAAGCCTTATTAGAAGGTTTGCCTTGGGGTTAATTATGGATAGACCCCTTGTAGTATCGCACAATTGTGAATAGACCCTTATAGTTCTATTTATGTGGATTGACCCCTTGTAGTATTGACCCAAGTGCAAATACGCCCCCTTAGTGAACTTTTTCGACTCTTTTATGAGTCAAAATATTTAGCAATTGGGGATCTATCCTTACCAATAGAACTATAAGGGGTCTATCTGTCTCCTTAAAGACATGCTGACTATTTTAAGAGTCAAAAAAGTTCACTCAGGGGATCTATTTGTACAAATAGAACTACAGGGGGTCTTGCGATCCTACAAGGGTCTATTCGCAATTAAGCCTTTGTCTTAGGGTGTAGTTTAAATTTCTTCTTTTCCTGAACATGTTCTATAAATGCAAAAGCACCATTGATGGGCAAGGTCAGCAAAAGAAACTGTTGAACTTTGGAGTCCTCCATGCAGCTGCAGAAAAAAAACCGTAATTAAGGATGCTAGTCTAGTGCGAACACCCTGCTTTTTTGAATATAAAAATGACTACAAGTTTTGCTATTTAAAAATTTTCAAATCCGCCCTGTGGAGGGTGAAAACCTTCCCAAAAAGAGGATCCATATGTATGTCGAGCAGATTCTATTTAATTATTCTAAAAGCTATCTTTTGATATTTCCTTAGCTTTAATAAGGGCCATGATTAAATTAGTTTTCTTGTTTGATATATATATATATATATTTAATTTAGAGGGTTCTAGTTTCTTTTAGAATCCTAATTAGTTAGAATTAGGGATCCTAGGTTTATTTTAGTTTAGGTTCTCTGAGCCCGCAAGTATACATCTTCACATGTTCTTTTAGTTGACGCCTCACAAATTTTGGGTGTGAAGACCAAATGTATGAAGGCTTGTTCAATGTGAAGCCGCCATGAGGATATGAAGCTTTGAACTATCTTTTATTCTCGTTCTCACAAAAACTCTAATTGTCACATCTCCCTCTTAAGCACTAATTTCTGTGAAATCCACATTTCGCGGAAGAGAAGGGGCACTAAGTCAGAGAATTCAAGGAAAAGAAGAGGAAAAAAGTATGCAGAAACTTAGCAGATCATTATTGATTCTTAATCTATCTATACCCTTCTCAAGCATTTTCCTTTCACTTGATCTGTTGGTTTGAGCTAATTAAATTTGCAATCCATTGGATCTAAATTATTTTGCATAAAATAAGGGAGATCTTACACCAAAATTTCCTTCATTACATTGGATTAAAATGCTTTTTGTATATTTACTCTAACATTATCCTTTTAAATAGTTCTCGAAAAAGTAATTTACATATTTCCATGTGATACCCAGTATGTAATTGCATGTTTTCATTTTTTTTCTTTGTTAAAATAAGATTTTCTGCCAAAAGAATTATTTCTAATATGAATATTATAATTGGGCCAAATTACTCTATGTTCAATATGCTTTAGTTGTTGCTTGTATTTATTATGACACCTTTCTGGAATTCATGCTAAGTTGCAATATGGGGCCTCATCTCGATTTCAGGTGTCCAAATTCTTTGCTGAGAGCGGTTATCATAAGGTACCCTTCTCTCAAGTTATCTGTTATTTTTACTGTTAACCTCGTAGTTATTGATGTGCTATTCATGTAGTATTCTTGTATCACATAGCAATCTTATGTGCTTAGAGCAAGTCCAGCAAGCTCCGAACTATGCTCTGAAGGCTGATGTGGCGATGGTTCTTGCCAAACCCCCCTCCAGCAAGCTCTGAAGCCGCTCCCAACTAGCTCTCCGTTCCTACGTGGATGTCGAATCCTTCAGAGCTCCCAAGCGCTCCACAAATTTGTGGAGCGCTTGGGAGCTCCCAACTGGGGTGACATTTTACAAAACCCCCCCCACAAGAAAATCATACCAAATCAGGAACCAGTCGGAGGTCGTGGTCGTCGTGGCTGACTGTCGAAGGGGTTGGGGTTGGTCTCCGACCGTTTGAGGTTGTCCAAGGGGTGGGATTTGGGTATCGGATTTGGGGGAGAAGATGAAGAGTTCTTTGTTTTTTTTATCTGGGTGCGCTGTTTGAGGTTGGGATTTGGGAGAAGATGTAGTTTTTTTTTTTTTGGGTGCGTTGTTTGAGGTTGGGATTTGGTGTTTTGATTTGAGATTTTTTTTTAATTGCCTGAGTTGTGAATTTTACCGTTGTGATTTTTACCTCTTGAGTTGGAAATTTTACCGTTGTATGAAACACGGACACAAGCTCCTCTCCAGAATTCAGCCGTTAAAAATGAAGCCGTTGAAAAAGTTACCGTTGTAAAAAATCTTCTATAAATTCGTTTTACTTCAATACACAAATCATTACAGAAGTCGTAGAAGAAGGTAACCCTATCGAGTTATCGCAATCTGCAACACAACAAGTGTCATCCCAAGAAACACCGACCACAAAGAAGAAGAAGGCTTATACGCGGTCCGAAAATTGGACTGTCCACGAGGATAAGCTTCTTGTGTCTGCTTGGCTGAACACGAGCCAAGACGCCATCCAAGGTACGGGGCAACACAAAGATAAGTTTTGGCACCGAGCTAACGACTATTTTATCCTATACTCCACCGATCCAACGAGCCGCACGCCAAACCAAATGATGCATCGTTGGTCAACGATTCAACTGTCCGTCAACAAGTTCTGCGGGTCCGTCAACAAATTTTGTGGGTGCGTTGCTCAGATTGAAGGAAGACAAAGATCTAGTACGGGAATTATTGACCAGGTAAATATTTAATTATGTTTGATTATTTTTGCTCAGATTCAATATGTTTAATTATGTTTGATTATTCTAAAATTAACTCTTGTGTAGACTGCAGAAGTAAAAGAATTATACCAATCTCTTTATGGTAAGCCATTCGTGTTTGATCATTGCTGGGTTGAGTTGCGTCATCATCAAAAGTGGATCCAACAAATGGAATCTTACAATAAGATTCGATCACAGCCGAGAAGAACCACAAACTATGATTCCTCACCAAACAATTCCATGCCAGCGACCCCCATCGAGTTGAACACTGACTCGGATGATGTTATAGCAAGGCCTGAAGGGAGGAAAGCGGCAAAGCTCAAGAGGAAACAAAATGTGGAAAGCTCTGGATCCGCTACGTCCATCATGGGAGAGGCTTTCGCGTGGATGAAGCAAACCACCAATCAAAAAATAGAGCTAAAACAGAAGAAACAAGATGACGATATCATGAAGATGGATCTCTCAACACTCAATTCAGTTCAACGACAATACTTTGAAATGCGTCAGGCAGAGATATTGGAGAGGTGGATGTCCAAGGATTCTTCCTAATTATCATATATTATCTTGTATTAGATTTATGATTGTACTCGCATCGCATCCTAATTAGTTCTTCCTAATTATCTTGTATTAGATTTATGATTCTACTTGAAGTTGAAAATTTTGGCATTTAATGAAAACAACTACTTCATTGAAAAGAAAATTAGGCGTAGTACAACAACTCGAACTTCTTTGCTGAAATTACATTAGAAACTTAATCCTCGTCGATGGATCCCTTGAGCTGCCACAGATGCTCGATCAAATCATTCTTTAGTGATTTGTGTGTTTGCGTGTTCCTAATCCGATGATGATTTTGGATGAACTCAGTTAACGATCACAAAAGTGATTTGTGTGTTTGCGTGTTCCTGATCCGATGATGATTTTGGATGAACTCAGTTAGAGGCACCGTCTGCACATGAGAAGGTTCAACGACTGGTACCGAATCAGTAAAGTCGAAGTTGTTGTCCAATTGACAATCACGTTCATCTTCAACGATCATGTTATGCATTATGATACAAGCTGTCATGATATCTTTCAGCACACAAGGTTGCCAGAAACGTCCTGGTCCACGAACAATCGCAAATCGAGCTTGCAACACGCCAAAAGCTCGCTCAACATCTTTTCTTGCGCTTTCTTGTTGTTGAGCAAAGTACTTATGCTTGTTTCCTCGTGGTGCTGGAATAGTCTTCACTAATGTGGACCACTCTGGGTAAATCCCGTCGGCGAGATAGTATCCCATATTGTACTCGTGGCCATTAACAGTATAGTTGCACGGTGAAGCTCTTCCCTCCGCAAGTTGTGCGAAAACCGGTGAACGATGTAGCACATTGAGGTCATTGTGAGACCCCGGCAGTCCAAAGAAGGCATGCCATATCCAAAGATCTTTGCTAGCTACGGCCTCCAAAATAATTGTAGGTTCATGAAAATGCCCAGTATACATACCTTGCCAGGCGGTTGGACAGTTCTTCCATACCCAGTGCATGCAGTCGATGCTCCCAAGCATACCAGGAAAACCTCGTTGTGAGCCTTCCTCGAGCAGGCGTGCAACGTCTTCATTAGTCGGTGAACGAAGGTATTCCTCCCCAAAGATGTTGATAATCGATCGAACGAACCTCTTCACGCTCTCAAGCGACGTACTTTTACCGATCCGAACGTAGTCGTCAACGGCGTCAGCGGATGCTCCATATGCGAGCATCCGCATAGCTGCAGTAATCTTTTGAAGGCTAGATAGTCCTAACTGTCCAGCACCATTCCTCTTTTGGACGAAGTACTTGTCATGTTCGACGACAGCGTCGTGGATTCGAAGGAATAACGAACGCGACATTCTGAATCTTCGACGAAAATAATGAAGAGGATATGTTGGTGTGTCAGCAAAATAATCTTGGAACAACCGATTGTGGCCTTCCAGTCGGTATCGGTGGAGCACGGTACGTCTTTTGTGTTGAACTGAAGTTGAACCTTTCCCTTGTACTTCTTCCTCGACGGCAGCAGCTCCCATAAGAAAGAACGTCTTCATCATTTCACCATCGCTAGAGCTAGATGAGCTAGACATTTTGTTCTGGGAGACGATGGGTTGAGGTGAGAAGGCATCGAATTTTATAGGAATCAGTCGGTTGACGGTCAAAGTTTGCGATAACTCGAAGTTCGTGCCCAACCTCGAAGACCGCGAGCTACCTCGAAGACCGTGTGCGTTCCCTCGAAGACCGCGGGTTACCTCGAAGACCGTGTGCGTACCCTCGAAAGCCGCGGGTTACCTCGAAGACCGTGTGCGCTCCCTCGAAGACCGTATCCAACGGTTAGAAATAAAATACAAGAGGTTTAAATATAATTAAAAGTAATGGGTAAAATATCAAAATAGAAGAGGGGTTTTTTTGATATTGTTGGAGCTCCTAACTAGGAGCTTGTTGGAGCTCCATAAAATAAGGAGATGCTCCCAAGGCCTATTTTTATAATTTTTTATACCAAAATGCTTGAGAGCTCTTGAGAGCTTGATGACTAGGACTCCTAACTGGGAGCTTGCTGGACTTGCTCTTAGGACCACTCCAATTTGCCTCTTTGCGAGGGTTCTATTGAATAGCAGGTTGACTTTTTTTTTTTATCCTTGTTACTTTTGATAGGTGAAAGTCATCTGTTTCTCAAAAAATGGAGAGCGTGCTGTCCCTTTCATGCGGCAAGCTGCCAGAGATTATTGGGCCTATGCATCCTTTAGTATGGTCCTGTGGAGAGAAGAAGATTCTTCGTTTTGGTGGAACATGTATGTGCCTCAAATACCATACAATGATGATATGTTTGATTCCTTATCTTGCTGCTTCTCAAAAGAAAATAGTTTTTTTCCAAAAAAGAATACATGTTATCTTTTGGTTGTTCGTAAGCATTAAAACAAATAATTGGCACTCTTTATTTGAAATCTGTGTTCCGTTTGTGCTGCAAAGAAGTCATTTAAAAAAAAATGTACTGTGATGGATATAAAAATGGTTGGAGAACATTATCATGTTCCCTGACAGTTTCAGTGGGGGTTTGTACCCTGATCTTTCAAATATATTATACACATTAGACCATATTACGTTTCCATGTACTGGATCCGGATAGTGCATGGTTCGACATGGATCTGAGCTCCGACATCAATTTGGTGAGTTGAGTTATGATTTCTTTTTTCATCCTTAACAGGCAATCCCTTATCTACTTAAAATTGTCTACTCAGACAAAGATTAGGTTCAGTCATTAAGTTGTAGCCTAGCTGCAAGCTGAAATTGGCTAAAACAGTGACGAGGAAGAAAGCTAAAGAACAAAGGAGAAGGAGAATATAATTTTACTTGTATGCCCTCTCCTCCTTTTCTCATTGTATTTTAGTGTCATAAAAAGTTGATGTTCTCTAGTGTTATATGAATTATGTTTTATGTCATGTTTAGAGTATTATATGACACCGGCCCCATTTTAGAAGGTATCCTGGGTAGGAAGTCCTTTTATATAAGCTCTAGGGCATTTTTGAGTGTTGTGAATAGTACGTTGGTCTTTTGTTGTGCATTTCTGTGCCTTCTGCTTTATTTCTAAGCTCAGTTACAGAAGAATCAGTTAATCATCCCACCTTCATTCTCATTTCTTGACCTCGGATCAAGTGCATTCTTTTTAGCATTCCATATAGGTTTGGCCTTTTGTCTTTTAACCATCAATAGTTACTATCTTCTGAGCTTGATAATTGAATTTTTATATGTTACGGTTTACCATCCTTTGTACTGAAATCCTTCCTACACATTGTTTTAACTGTACTAAATGTATATAGATTCTCATGGTGAATCACTTGCATTCGTAACAATGTGATAATTATATTGCAGTGTTTCCCTGTGTTGAGATCATCTTTCTTCCATTCAACTGAGTGTAACTGATGAATTTACTTCATATAACAGGTTTAATGTGGAATCGGCTCCTTCCATTGTTATTCTAAAGGATCCAGGGGTCCAACCTTTTGTTCACCATGGCATGCATCTCCCTGTGCTTCTTTTTCTTATCTTAGCCTGGCATATCTCAAGTACTTGGTTTATCAGCAAAAAGACTAATAGTTGATCCTATCTATTGCAGGAAATCTAAACCGTTCACAGTTTTTAAAGATCATGGAGAATAATAAACATCAAGGTCAGATTATCCTAGTTACTAACTCTCAATAGATGTATAAACGAGGTAAACTCAGCAGGCTTAACATCTTAAACTCCACTTTCTTAGGTCGAGGCAGGTTAAGCTTTCTATGAGCTTGAATCATAGCTTGAATGATCATGTCGAAATTTGGATGTTTGGTTTCAGATTCGCTTGTTTATGAAACTTCTTTATACTCCATTGAATTGAACGTACAGAAATTGACCAAAGTAACTACTATTTAACAAAAATTACATGATGATAGTGAGTAAAGAAGTTTAAAGCATGCACATTCATCAACTAGTACATTGCCATTTAGGCAGTGTTCTATAAAGGCCAAGGTTTTAAATGTCGGCCACCATGTCTGACATGGCGGCGACATGTCGGATTGGGAGGGCTAGCGACACGACATTAGGATTTCAAAGTCGTATGTCATTTTTCTAGCTCATATTGGACATGTTGGGTGCCATTGCAAACATTGTGCCCGATATTTGAGATTTAAAAGTCGGCCGATATCAACGTATATGTGTTTGGGTTTTTTTAAGTATTTGCGTTTGGGTTTATTACCCAAAACCCGAACCCAATGATGTTCTCTTTTGTTCCCAATAGCTAGCTAGGGCAAATATAACCCAATAGCAAATTAGGGCAAGAAAAGACACTACTCCCCATTTCTCTCGTTCCTTCGACATCGCAACTCTGAAGCCCCTCTCATTTAGGAATGCTTAGATTATATTTCATTTAGGCCATGACGTTATACATATGCCCACCACCCGAAATGGCAATCTGACATTTAGTACATGTCCCTCAATATATCCCTGATTTCCGCTATCCGACATGGATTTTAGCTGTTTGGCGTGGACCCGACATCTGACATTTAAAACCTTGATAAAGGCTTGTTGTCTTCATTGATTACCTTATAGAGTAGTGTATGCGTCTAAATCATCATAACAACATCAGTGCACTAGTTAAATTTTAAGTGCTTACAGTAAAGGATCATGCTTCCATTGTCTTTAATTGTCAAGTTTAATCTTACTGAGATTGCATAGGGAGATATAAATACCAGTGAGATGGGGTTCTGGTGTCTAATAATCTTTGACTTGCATTTATTTGAACATATAATTTTATGTGGCTGTGGGAGCAGTTCTGAATAATTTGGTTTTATTTTATTTCCAGAACTTCCTCAGCTAAGGAGTGTGACATCAATGGAATTAGGCTGTGATGCAAACGGTTATTCCCGTGCTGGAAATAATACAGTGAGCTGGTACTGCGTAGTTCTTGCTGGGCGCCTTAGTGTAGAACTGAATAAAATGCGTGAAGTAATCCTTCTCTCTCTCTCTCTCTCAACCCCCTTCCACCCTCTCTTATGCGCGTGCACGTGGAAGTAAAGATTAAATATAATAACATCTTAATCTGACAGTCCAGCACAATCATTTCTTGCTGATTTACCAACATAAAGCAAGAAAAATTTATCAGCTGTATTTGACCTTTCATCGACTTACAATATGCACTTGATGTCAATGTAGACAATGCGGAAGGCCAAACAGATATTGGCAGGTAATGTTGATTCAGATATCCCTGAAGCAACTGTTTCAGCATCAGCTGCTGGTGTTGCTCTAAAGGAGAACCGCCTCACCTTTACATGGCTGGATGGTGAGACTCAAAAGGTTTGTCATTTCCAATGTCACTTTTTCAAGTTTTTCTCTCTGATTGTGGTTAAAGTATTAAACTGGATAGATAACACCGGAAAGTTAGTTTGTTGAAGTTCTCTTAGCTGCTTATGGTTAGAATCATGCTTCCATGAAGCTAGCCAATTGTTTGATGGTAGTCCCTCGCTTAACGAACTGTCTACTAGTAGTCCTTGTTAAGCTACACGTGGCATGGGGTCTTGGGGTGAAAATGGGGAATGCTAGTTCGGAATGATGAACCTTTGTCAATCTGTCATAGAGCCCCTTACTAGATTTATGATCTGTAACAGGTCATCTTTACCCTTTCATGAATGTCAGAATGAAGCACCAAAGAGGCTAGATACTTTCTTTCAAGAAGCTTGCAATGCCTGTTAACAAACATGAAAACAGAAATGAAGCACTTTTTTAATGTATGTTAAAAATTTATCAGCTGTGCATAGAACACAGATTATCATTTTCTAGTGATAAGTTGATAATGGGTATTGCAGGGTTGACTTGATAATAAGGAGCAGAACTAGAGATTTAGAGTTGAGGTATTTAGACTTTTAGAGATGAGAGTTTGGGCTATGGTTAAAGGATAAATGAGAAGGGTTGTGTTAGGTAGCTAACATTCAGCATAAAATATAGTCGGATCCACATGAAAAATGAATCCTATTATATACTCATTGGGGCGTTCCTACCGCGAAAATGGTAGGAGACTTTTACAAGAAAATAGAATCAGATTAGCTACTTAGAATATAGGTATATTTACCGGAAAGACCATGGAATTAGTGGATGTCATGCTTAGAAGAATGATAAATATAATTTATTTACAAGAAACTAAATGAATAGGTGAAAAATCTAGAGAAATTGAAAAGACCGGATATAAATTTTGGTACACGGGAAAAGAGAAGAATAAGAATGGAGTGAGAGTTCTTATAGATAATATAATAAAAGAAAGTGTTGTACAGGTAAGAAGAATTAGAGATAGAATAATACTAATAAAAGTTGTTTTAGGTGTAGAGGTTATTAATATTAGTTGTACTTACGCACCATAAATAGACTTGCCCGAGAGTACTAAAAGGGAATTTTGGGATAGATTAGATAAATTAGTACATGGAATCCAATTTAGAGAGAAATTATTTATAGGAGGGGATCTTAACGAGCATGTTGGTAAGGATAATAACAGATATGAGAGGATAAATGGAGGTTTTGGGTATGGAGATAAGAATGATATGTGTAAATTAATTTTAGAGTTTGCAATATTGTATGATTTGATAATACCAAATACACTTTTTAGAAAAAGGAATGAACACTTAATAACCTTTAAAAATGGTTTTAATAATAGTCAAATAGATTTTTTTTCTTACTAGAATGACGGATAGGTTAATATGCAAAGATTATAAAGTTATACCAGAAGAGACTACATAACATAGATTGATGGTCTTAGATATATCTCTTAAGAAGTGGAGTAGAAAAACTAACGTAAATAAGAGACTAAGAACTAAATGATGGAAATAAAAGGAGATAATTTAATACAATTTAAAGATAAGATATTAAAAGAAGATATATGTGACATAGATAATGAGACTAATATTATGTGGAATAGCATGTCTTTTTGTATTAGTAAAATGACTAAAGATATACTAAGAGAATCTAAAGGTTATAGATTAGACGATAAGGAGAGTTGATGGTGAAATTAGAGAGTGCAAAAAGTTATTAGAGAGGAGAAACTTTATATAAAGAGTAGCAAAAGTGTAGAAGTATGGGAAAACTTAAAAAAAAAAATATAAACTAGTAAGGAAGAAGCAAAAATTAGTGAGAATAAATACAAGGCTTATGAAATTTTTTATAAGAAGTTAGAATCTAAGGAGGGAGAGAAAGATATATAAGCTTGCTAAGATTAGAGAAAGGAAGAGTAGAGATTTGGGTAATATTTGGTGTATTAAAAGTGAGGATCAAATAGTTTGTGTCCGACGAGGAAATAAAAGAGAGGAGGAGGAGTTACCTTTATCAATTGTTTAATGATAACCAAACAAGTGAGCAAAATGGAGATTTTGACCATATAGTGAATGATAGGAACTATATATATTGTCAAAAAATTATGATTAGCGAGGTTAAAGATACTCTAAAAAAATGAAAAGTGAAAGAGCTGTAGGACCAAACGATATCCCTATTAAAGTTTAAAAATATCATGGAGATATAGGCTTAGGATGGTAAACTATTTAATAAGATTGTCGAGACGAAAAGAATGCCGCATGAGTGGAGGATTAATACTTTGATACCGATATATAAAAATAAAGGGGATATACAAAGTTGCTCAAATTATCGAGATATAAAACTCATGAGTCATACTATAAAATTTGGGTGAGGGTAGTTGAGCAAGGACTAAGAAAAGAAACAAATATATCTGAAAATCAATTTGATTTTATGTCTGGGAGGTCAATTATGGAACCTATACATATTTTGAGACGGTTGATGGAGAGCTATAGAGAGAAGAGAAATGATCTACATATGGTTTTTATCGATCTAGAAATAGCTTATGATAGAGTGTCTAAAGAGGTAATGTAGTGGGTGTTAGCACAGAAACATATATCTAGTATATATTGATGTGATTAAAGATATGTATAATAGAGTAACAACTAGAGTAAAAATTAATGAAGGAGAGACTAAATCATTTCCTATTACCATAGGTTTACACTAAATCTTAGCTTTAAGTTATTATCTTTTTGTATTAGTTATGGACCAACTTACTAAGCACATTTAGGATGAAATCCCATAGTATATTTTATTTGCTGATGATATAGTATTAATTGATGAAACTAAAAGATGCATTATTTTTAAAGTAGAAAGATAAAACAATATCATCATTCATTTTAATAAACGAAAAATAACTAATTAGCATAATTGTTAGTGTCAAGCGGTCTAACAAATTTTAAATTGACTACATAGAAATCTGCAAAAACTGATTTTAGTGAGAAAACAACTTAAACAGGTCTGAAATATGATATTGGGTCCTAACTAGGTCAACGGGTCTGAAATTTGGGGTTTTAGTCTTTTTAGATCCAAATGGGTTTGAAAATTGGATAACGGGTCTGTAATTTAGGGTTATGGATCCAAACAGGTTTGAAAATTTGATAACGGGTCTGTAATTTGATAATGAGTCCGAACTAGGTCGGGTCCGAGGGGTTATAGATCTAAACGGGTCTGGTAAAGGTTTTAGAATTAGTTGAACAAAATAAAAATATATGGAGTGCATTTCTAGTAAAACTAGAAAAGGAAGAGAGCCTATGATACATATTGATGGCTAAGAAATACCTAAAACTAATCATTTTTACTATTCAGGATCAATCATTAGGCATGATGGTGAGATAGAGGATGATGTTGTGCATCGAATCAAATCGGGATGGTTAAAATGGAGGAGTGTCGCGGGAGTCTTATGTGATCGTAGAATACCAATGAAACTAAAGGAAAAATTCTCTAGGACGGTTATAAGACCAACTATGCTTTATGGGTCAGAGTGTTGGGCAATTAAAAAAAACATGTTTAAATATGAGTATAGCAGAAATGAGAATGTTGCGATGGTCTTGTGGGTGTACATTAAAAGATAGGATAAGAAATGAGTGCATCCATAGTAAATTAGAGGTTGCGCCTATTGAGGATAAAATGAGAGAGAATAGATTAAGATGGTTTGGCCATGTACAATAGAGACCTTTTAGTGCACTGATTAGGAAAAAAGATAATATTAGAGTTAATAGGGCTAGGAGATCTAGAGGTAGACTTAGAATGACTTAGTTAGAAACAATTAAGAAGGATATGATTAAGATTAACTTAACGGAGGAGATGACCAATAACAGAAATGAAATGGAAAAATAGGATTCATGTAGTCGATCCCAAACATTTGGGATAATGGCTTGGTTGTTGTTGTTGTTGTTGTTGTTTGGACTATGGTTAGGGAAGGAGGTCGAACAAAGAGGAAGCAGATATAAATGGAGGGTTTCATACTGGACAGAGGATTCACACCGACATTGGTCATGGCACAGAGGGAAAAATTTTAGGTGAAAAATTTATTTACTTTTTACACTTGGAAGCACCCATCGATAATAATTTTAGGGCCGGAATTACTGAACTCACAGAGTACCAATTACTTGAAAAGGACTCTAAATATCTTTTGAAAATTCCAAAAATATCTTGGGAAAAGGCATGTTAACTGACCAGTGAATAAGAACCAAGCTATAACATTGCTTAAACCTAATTACTAACCCACGGTGCCAATGGCGGATCCACAAAAAACTTCTTGGGGGCCGGACAACATGCATCTATTTCCCTAAAAATAAAAATATAGTATTATAAAACTATAGTACCTAATGGAAATGTACTCCGTACACTTTATCAGTTCCTTTGCATCATATTTTGTTTGTACCCCTACACTCTACGTAAATCCGCCACTGCTACTAGTGATTAGATTTTTATGCTGATGTCAGAATGTGATTTGTCTTATTTGCTTTATCTCCACATTTTCCCACTTTCTCAATGAGCTTAAGTATTGTTCTGCGTCACTTGACCTGACCTAGAGAAGGGGTTGCTTTTATTACTGGACCTCAATATTTGACTTTTTTAATTTATTTAATTGTATATGAGATGCTTTTTCCTGATGATTTACAAACTGTAAGTGTTCTCTCCTAGCATTTTGCTATATATTTTACTATGTTGAGTAAGCATCCCTAGGAAGAAACAAATGTTCACTAGTATGAACTATGAAGAAATGAAACACGAGATTTTCTCTCTTTTCCATAATACTAAGCACTGAAGCGAAGGAGCACAAAGTTGGAGTAAGCATTCAATAGTATGTTGTTATTTCATTCCCTTTCCTTCAGTTTCCTTTTCACTTTTCTCCTTTTTTTTTATGTGTGCACGCGCGCGCATGCTTTCTCTTGCAATTCACCAATTTCGTTTGTCAATCCAATTCGTAAAAGGGAGTATCCACAGGTGTGGGTACTGTATCAATCATCTAAGAAATGAATGTAGCGTCAAACACACATGCATGGATCATTATAGCTTTCGGAAGTTTGCTCCCCAAGTCATAATGTACATGCATAAATGCAGTTTTTTTGCTCAAACAGTTTTGCAGTGATTAGAAGGTAGTACATGCATTAGAGTAGCATATAATTTGTGATTACCTACTATCAGCACAGTTTAAAATATCTTCAGTTTATTGATATTTGCAAAATTTGTAGTTAGCATAAACTTTTTGTGTTTCAGGAGTATATCTACATGCTAATGTTAACAAATTTATAAACTCCTTTCAGTTGGTTAACCCAAATTTTATTACGTTTATGCAGAAATATTGTTTATTCTACCTCTATTCAGAGAATATCCAAGAAACTTGCGGGCCTAGAGGATATGTATTAACCGAAGTTCCACGGCTGTTTATCGTGCGTTACAAAAGGAACTCTACGGAGAGAGAAGCAATGGCTAAGAGAAAGAAAAACAATGTCTGGAGCATATACCAGGAGGAGGATACTAATGTGGCCTCCCAGCTAGTGGCAAGGTACAATGGTTCTCAGGACGTTCAAGAGGTATGCACATTTATTTGTTTCCATATGTCAGTTGCTTATCATTTCCGATCTTCTCCATGCAAATAATTCGCAATTCTCCCAGTAGTTGAAGATGACATCTATCTGTCATAACAATATCTTTTCCCCACATTTACTTTACTCACTCCGAATAAAATGTCACTGGACCTATGAATTGTTTTTATATGATAAATTAATTGATAAAATTTTTGTATAACCGGGCAATTGATGAGGCCAATGTATGTTTGTTAATTGTAGGCTGTTATTTATCCAATATTTTCTTGTATTGTAACATTGGTGGATGAACAAATTGATGGCCTAACATTGTTCCCTCATTACGTGCTCAATTTTACTTATTGTGGAAGATGTATTTTATGTGTAAGAAAAACAAGTAATAATATTAGAGATGATAAGATTATGTAAACTTACTTTTTGTCCTGTGGGCTTCTCAGATCATTCAGTGGGTCTCGCATATAATTGAGGATGGTGATACCCGTGAGCTTCCCTATTTTGTAAGTGGTTCAAGTAAACGCTTCTACAACCCCCCCCCCCCCAACACACACACACACACACACACACACCCCAACTGGCATATGTTTCATTTTGTCTTGTTTGATTAAAAGCATTTACACCTTTTTATGTATGGAAGTTTTCAGGTGGTAGAGTAGAGGGTTGTGGCCTCAGTTATAGAAGTTCTCATTACATTGAAATTACTTGCAAAGTTATAACAGCATATTGTGCCAAAAAACTGCGTGGATTTTCTGAATACCTACACTTTGGCTGGCAAACATTGTAATACATGCAAGGATACAAGTGTCCAAATCAGTTGCATACTGGTTTTCTGTCTGACAGATTAAAAAATCATGGGTGACGGCAACGGAGGTTTCTAAATCAGGAGAAAAGTGGAAATTGATGATCTACTACTATCTTGTTTGTTATCTTCAAACCAGGAAATGCCGGATGAAAGAAGATAAAACTATTCTAATAGCATCCATACAGAAATATGAATTTTCTCAATTATTAAGAAAATTTGGGAGATACAGAGTAATGAGTATAAAAATCCAATTAAGAAAAATGACATGAGTATTTAGTAACTGATTGATCTTCTGACAGGAACAAGCAACTAAAAAGATGGAAACAAGAAAAGGATTGTAGCATGGTCTTCCTTGAATTAGATAAGTGCCAAAACCCATGCCACGGCACCAAAACTCTGAAGTTATGGTGAGGGTTAATGGCTATATTTTTATATCCTAACATACCCTGCAGATACCCCGCAGGTATATGTTCCTTTTATGAGCCCACAGCTGGACTCATGGAGTGGTATCTTTTTTTAATCCGCTTTAGAAATTTGTGACCAGTAGGATTCATGGGTTGCTCTGGTATCATGTCAAAGTCCTTACCACTGCTTCAAAACTCCAATGTTATACTAATGGTTGAGGGTTATTCTAACAATAAGACGAGATTAACTATCAAGTAAAGAAGGACATCAAGAAAGGAGCATTGATATAATAAGTTGTATATATAATAGGGCATTGCAGGAATTTGTTTTCTATTTCAGAAAATTCCTCATTAATGATTTATTTATTCTTATGTTTCTCATCTCTGTCTCAACCAAAAATTGTTTAAACTCCAGCTCAACTGCTCGAGTACTTAGTTTAGATACTTGAATCACACTTTTCTCTCCTCTTCATTTAGCAATTTAGTACTTTTACTTGAATTGTATTATTAGGGTGAGTTTTATTTGTTGTCACATCCATTAAGACAGCTAGAAAGGGAGGCAACTCCTTGGTTGGTCAATTTGAAGACTGGGACTATTCTATCTTCTCAAATGTGAAAATAAATAAATCATTAATGAGGAAGTCTCTGAATTAGAACACAATTTCCTACAATGCCCTATTAAAAATACAACTTATTATATCAATGCTTTCCCTTCTTATTCAAGCTTGCACCATGCACACAGGTCTTCCCAGGAAAATTCTTTTCTCGCTATTCTGTGGTAGCTTCAAGATGAGCTTGGAACCTCCCCGAGGTCCAAGATGAACTCTCGTCAAAATTCCACAAATCTGGGGGCATTCCTTCCACCCTTTCCTCACAACACCAAAGCCAAAAAAGATACATCTTATAGTTATCTAGAACTTTTGTAGACATGCAAGAAGGAAATGCATCTAAACACTCACAAATGTCCGTCTTTGTATTGGCAACTATCGAGATAGGATGTGTTTTTTTTTTAAATTTAGATGTAGATTGTGTGAGATATATGGCTTGCATCGGATATATATGCTAGGGTAATGTGGTGTCTTCTTTTGGAGAGGGAACCATACAAATCGGGCGAAAAAATTGCACTGTCTACACGCAATCCATACATCAATAACTGATCTACTAAGCGTGTAGTTCAGATTGAATAAAAGTGTGATACCGGTTCACTCAACTCAATTTAAACTGACAATGCTGATAAACCACATGGATTATCGTGACGAACATATGGTCTTTTATGATTATGTTTATGTTACACAAGAAATTCTTGTAACATCCTACTCATTGTTCAGTTATCATCACTATTCGATGATGTTATGTTATATAACTAATACTTCCAACTTGATGCTGACCCAAGAAGCTCTTGATAATGTAGGTTGATAATACTCCAGAGCTCATCCCAGAGGATGCAAATCCGATGTGGACAAAACGTGCCCGCAATGTTTTTTCTGCAGGAAAAGGACTGAAGCATAGGGTTCAGGGTTTCATTTCTGCTCTTAGTGAATACATGAAAGATCCCCGTCTCGGTCCAGTCTTCCTGTTGGGTGCATGTCTATCATTCGGAACCATCTGGGTGCAAAATAGTCAGCCGACTCAACCCACTCAAACGGTAAGAAATGTTTTTGGAGTACTCATCTCCTGCTAAATTTCTCTTGCATACTTTCTCTGTGCTGCTTGTTTCTTGTTTTGCGTGAAAAGATCTTGTTACTGATGGGGTTGGCTAATTCATTGACACTTTCATGATATTGCTTTTGAAGAAATTTTCAAAATCACCTCAACGGAATTATTTTTTAAGAAATCGACCCCATTCATTTTTAATTATAGAAATCGACCCACTTTGAGTTAATTACGGTACTAATTAGTCGGGGTTGCCAACCCCGACTAATTAGGAGCCTAATTAGCAGCCGCAAACCTTCCCCGCTTCTTGACCCCGCTTGTAATTAGGCTACTAATAGGCAGAGTTGGCAACCCCGACTAATTAGTACCGCAATTAACTCAAATGGGTCGATTTCTATAATTAAAAGTGAATGGGGTATATTTCTTTTAAAAAATTTTCAGTTGAGGGGATTTTGAAAATTTCTTCTATTGCTTTTCCTTGTTTTCTGGTATATCTATCATCAATCATAAAGATTCAGTAATGATAGTAATTGGAGATCCTGTCCCATGGCCCTTCTTTCTTTAATGTATGCATTTAAAGAAAAATTTAATGTCGCGGGAATGTTAGGGTTGAAATAGAAATTATAAACAACCAGTGGTTTCTTATTACGGTACTAATTAGTCGGGGTTGCCAACCCCGACTAATTAGGAGCCTAATTAGCAGCCGCAAACCTTCCCCGCTTCTTGACCCCGCTTGTAATTAGGCTACTAATAGGCAGAGTTGGCAACCCCGACTAATTAGTACCGCAATTAACTCAAATGGGTCGATTTCTATAATTAAAAGTGAATGGGGTATATTTCTTTTAAAAAATTTTCAGTTGAGGGGATTTTGAAAATTTCTTCTATTGCTTTTCCTTGTTTTCTGGTATATCTATCATCAATCATAAAGATTCAGTAATGATAGTAATTGGAGATCCTGTCCCATGGCCCTTCTTTCTTTAATGTATGCATTTAAAGAAAAATTTAATGTCGCGGGAATGTTAGGGTTGAAATAGAAATTATAAACAACCAGTGGTTTCTTATCTTCGTAATATTTTGCTTTTGGACTTGTTCTTTTGAAAGATTGTGTGGTGACATGTTTCCCTAACTCTTTCTTTTGCCCCCGCCAGAATGATGGTACAGAGAAGAAAAGAAGTCGCAAGGCTGAAAGATCAAACCATAGAAGGCCCTCAAACGTTGAGAAACCTTCTTCCATCACCGATGAAGTACCAAAAGATGCATATCAGATGTTACCATCGGACTCCGATTCAGAATAGCTGTTGGGTTTCATAAAATCAATAGTCCAAATCAAGCAGGCAGACTGGCAAATACCTATGTGGGTTCAAATCATGTCCCTTCGAGGGGCAGAGTTTTACTGATTTTGAGTGGTGATATGAGAGTCATGGCTCTGCTTCAAACTGTAAAGATGAACCACATATTTGCAAGCCTTTTTTTGTCCTTACAGCTCAAAAATTGTCTCTAATTATTAGTGTGCGCTCGAGGATAATGCCTTCAAAGAGCTTGATAAGAGAACCATCTCAATCTTTACTCCGTCATATAATTAAATTTTGTTTTTTAGTTGTAGTGTACGAGATATATCTTTGTATCATACATGCAAATATCCTGCTACTTTGAAGATGCTCATCTACCGTTATCTTGTGCCACAAACACAGTTTACAGTGTCTCTAAATCTTCTTTCAAAGAGGAAAATGTGTATTAGTGAACCTAGCAGTAGGGGTGGTAAATGATCGAATTGAGTTGAATACTAAAGTATTCGTATTTGCATTTGTTTAAAATTATCGAATTTGAATGCGGACTCTAATATTCATATATCTAGTTTTTCGCATTCAAACTCGAATACTTGGTATTTGATAAATATTCATGAATATTCACGAATACTTATCGAGTATCAAAGTATATTTATTCCGCTAAAGAATTTGATTTTCAAATAGTATTAAAATTCATAAATAAAAATTATTTCTTTATAATATATGATGTATATATCTTTAAATCAAGATTTTTAAAGTTAGAAAACAGAATTAAGATTATTTAAGTCTTAAAATCAGTATATAAAACTTAAGTAGGAAAGGTAAGTGGGTTAAAAGTATGACATCATATGTGCAATAATATAAATAATAAGCTGTGATTAAATTTTAAACGAATATTTAATAGACAAACGAATCGAATATACATTTGATTAAATTCTATTCATTAGTAAACTCGAATACTAAAAAATATTTGTTTAGTGATAAATGAACTATCGAATTGAATATGACCGAATAATTATTCAAACAATTATCGGATTATTTGTTAATTATTTGGTTCATTTCCACCCCTACCTAGCAGTCAAGCTTTTTTCAGTAACCGAAGGATCTTCATATGAAAATTGATGCAGACTAGGCCATAGAAGCTATAGGTTTGTGTTGTGCTGAACAACCTCACTCTTCCAAAATACATTCACTGGCAAAGGAAACCGCTTACTGCCAGAAAATTTAGATGGTCTTTCCTATACGAGTCACATTTTTCAGGGCACCCAATTTCACAGTATGTTGTTTTACGTCGATGAACATGACAAAATGCAATTAGATTCTTTGCATCATAACTTCATTCAACTCTTGGTACAAATTTAGCCTATAAGCCACTCTTCTCAAGTAAGCAGATCACATTATCCATCCCTTCATCTACCGTTTATTACTATTTAGAAAATTTGCAGCCAAACAAAATAAAATCAGCCACATCTTGTTTCCAAAAAACATCAAGAGTAACGATGAAGATGATGAAGATAATACGTATGCTTTACTTCCGAAACAAAATGAACATATAGTCCACAACATCCACAGATGAACTCCAAACTCTACCAGCGCTGACCACCGCCAGGAGGACCACCCGGCTGATTACCCCCAGCCATGTTTCTGTTGTCCCTTCGCTCTTGAATCTCAGCCTTCATCTTGTCTACAATATCACGAATCCTGGGGTTGAAGAAGCGGTCACGAACATATTTCTTTTCCTCCGCTTGTATCTCTTTGATAGCACTAGGGTATGGATTTGGAGGTGGTCGCTTCCCAAGAATAGGGGAAATTTTCTTCAGTTCCATGTATGCATTCTTCTTAGCCTTCTTCTCAGCTCGATATTCCATCTGTGATAGAAACAAAGAAGCACAGTTGGATGAAACGCAAATGCATTTAAGTAGAATAGTGGAAACATGACTACTTACATCAGCAACAGCCATGGCTTCCTCTTCATTGACGCCTTGGTCTTTCAACTCAAGCACACGCCAAGCAAAAACTCGAGCAGGTGGGGGCTCAAATCCACTTATCCTGTTAGAAATGAAAATTCATGTTACTCTGACATTGTTTTTTTTTTTTTTTTTGGTTGGGGGTGGGGGGGCGGGGGTTAAGCATCAAGCTAGAAATGACATTAGCTGACAGTTGAAGTTTACAAGATCAAAGATAATGAAACAACACATTAACCCAAGCAAGAATGACAAATTTGCTGAGAATTGAAGTCTACAGTATCAATAATACAAGAAAGCACACGATACGTCAACATTACTTCATCTGATCCTCTCCAGAAAAAAAAACACACGAGGGACAATAGTTGAGTTATGAAAATCCCAGAAGTTAATAGAAGATTCTAGAACAGACTTGACCTTAAACTGTAAGTTGGTGCAGAATTCCTTTGAACCAAATTAACCGGCAGATATACCAAAATTTTGTATATCATCTTTGAGCTTACAGCATGAAGAATCAAGTCTTCAAAATTCCCCTTGACAATTACAAAAAAAAAAAAATCCTAGTAACTAAGCTAAGATGATACCTTTCTCAAAAATACAAAATAAAAGGTAAGATGATATGATTTGGTTTAAGAAACCAGATATGATTTGGTTTAAGAAATCAGCTTTGCCTACAGGCTTTAATAAGACAAAGAACAAACAGAACCATCAGTTCCTAGGAGCCTTCTGTCAGATAGTTTAAAACTAGACTAACAGTTTTTAACTTAAAATACAATAAACACCGGAAAGTATGCAATTAAATCACAACAAGCATAATGCTGCGGAATTGGGTTTGAATTAGAATTTTCATGTTCTGGCAAGTTCAGGTCTTTTATAATTTAGAGGAGAAATTTTATTGGCTTGAGAATCTATTATTGGAAAATTTCTTCAGAGTTTAGTGAAATCAAGTATTTGGGTAGCTGCTGCTCGTAATCAGTAGCTTAACAAATGCTCAGCAGGTCTGGGTGTCAACGGCAAAGCTACTCACCTCATCAAAGTGGTTTGAATGCAGACTGCCAAGGCACCCTCCTAAGGATTTACAACATTGTTGATAAGTGATAACTCTTTCAGTCTTTTGGAAGAGATAATGCAAGTAGTTAAATAGAATAGGATCAGGTTGGGCTCACAATAGATAGATATGATGAAATGGAACCTGTTTTAGTCGAGGGTACGAGCTGAATAGGAGATGTCTGTGCAGAAAGAGGCTATACTGATCTTTTTGAAGCCAAATCTCATTGGAAACCCTGTAGGTTTTATTTAAGTTCATTCTTAAGTTGGTTAAGAGGTTGAAGTCCCTCACTGTCCCCAGCCTATTTTTTCTTGTAGTTAGTATTAGTAATCTTGTAGTTAGTATTAGGAATCATATATCAGGTCTAAAAGTTGGTGAGGAGGGAATATAATGCAAGAGGTTACATTCTGATGATAATTGATTGTTAATTTTCAGGACTAACCTACATCAGGTGAAAGGAACAAGGAATAACACATAATAGCCAGTGAATTTTATCAAGACTGCCGCTATTTTTGGAAGATGGGTGACTTCTAGGGGTAAAAGAACTGTTTTAACAGGGACAGGGGTCCAAAATTCCAAAGAAACATATTTCTATGGTGGTAATAAGGTGTTCATAACGGAATAATCTCAGGTTATTTTTAATTGCTGTTGGAATATCATGCAGTTCCAACCGCACTAAGACCCTCCATGAAAGTGTTCGGTTGAGCATTGCTGGAGTTGTTACCACATGCTTTAGATTAAAAAGCTCATTGTTACTCCATCTCTAAAAATGAGCATTAGAGGAGCAACACTTGCCGTACAAATATAGACAAATCAGTGAATCCTAGATCTGATTACATGATTTGCAGTTAAATTTTTTTAAAAAAAATAATGATTGGAACATGTTGCAAAATCATATCAAACCAAATGCATATGATACAATTTCAACATCTGTTGATGAATTTGCACTGTTCTTGGAACTACATTAATGTTCAAATAACAAACCACACACACGTCACACGCATACCCGGGAGTAGTTATTTCAATGAGCTATTGGAAAAAGTGATAAAGACTAAACTCATTCTACTCTCCTGCTCTTAATTTTTTTGATACAATGTCATGTTGAATATGTTCTGTAAAGCATATTGATTGCTACCATCTTGTACATTAAGGGCCGCAGGAATATTGCACACAAATTTTTGAAAATTCAGAAACTTCTTGTGCCAAAAATCTGCGACACACTGAAGTGTTTAAAACTTTACACGGGAAGGGATGAAGCCTAAAAATACAGATCACGGGAAGGGATGAAGCCTAAAAATACAGATAATTACTTTTTAAAGGATATGGCACATAAAGATGAGCGAAGCTTCAATAGCTAAAATAGCTTTTCCAGAGATTTTTATCTCACATATATCTATAGACAGGAGTTCTCAATTAGATATTGTGGCTAATTAGTTATAATATCTTCAAAAGAGAATCAAGAGATAGTGTTGGTTTTTGACATATATTAGGATATTGCTAGGGCTTACATTAGGAAGATAAAAAAGGTAAATATCAGCAGTAATCAATATTACCGCTCAACAGATCAAGCCTACACAGATATATCTGATTTCAATATGAAAACGTAGGGGAAAGAGGATCTGCGTCTTCTACAAAGTTCAAACCCGAATCTTTTAACTGACCATTGTAGGGGGGAAATAAAAAAATTGGCTGGTCTATACACTAGGAAAAACTAGTTTACCAAACAACTTAAAGCAGAAAGAAAGGGGAATAATCGCCGCCTTCAATCCCAAAGAAGACTCTTTTTCATTTAAACTTTTAACCTATTCGCAATTACATAAAAAGAACGGAGAGCGGAATGAAAGGAGAGTTGAGGCAATACTTCACTGCATCGTGGTACAAAGAATCAGGATGCTTCTTGAAGAACTTCTTGACATATACATCTTCTGGCAGTTCTATCGCCTTGATTTTCCCATCGGTACGAGGAAATACCACGGGCGGCGCCCTAAACAACAGCAATCAACCAGGTATAGCCACTGATTAGTTTGGCTGTAAAAGGAGCAACTTTATGAATTAAAATGTACTTGCATCACCAGAACCCCTGTTCTTTGGATCATAAAAGCGGCCACATGGAAATTTAAATGTAAATTACAGATATCATTTGTGGGCAAAGAGACCCAATTTCAGGTTTATATATCAAAATTTCAAAAACCCAGTTGCTGATTCAGTGCCTGTTAACATCAGGGGATCAAAGATTGATTTTTTATTGTACAAAAACGGAGAAATAACGATTAGGGTTTATAGCAGGTGGAGAGAGAGGGAGAGAGCTCTCACTGCTCCATGGGTTTGAGCCATTTGGGAGTGGGTTTGGCGAGTCCCTTCACCAGCTTCCTCGTCTTTGTCAGCAGATCTCCTCTCATGTACGACATCCGTCCTCGATCGATCACCCTCTCTCGATCGATCACGAGGAGCTCGGCCGAGGGGAATGCAGGGCTGAAAGCAGGGCCGTACCTAGGAATTTTGGGGCCCAAGGCGAAATATTAGATGAGAGCTAAGTGATACAACTCATAATAGATTTTTTCTCATTCTTCTTACCTTTTGAGCTGCAAAATTACTAATTAAAGTTTTATATTCAATATTTTCTAACATATTATTTTCGATAAATAACATTGCTAAACCTAGGAATTTTGGACTGAACCGGAGATTCGGAGAGAAGCGGCCAAAAGTCTGAATAAAAATATGTGGAAACTAGAAGAGATTCGGTTCTTCTCCAAGCTGGAATAAATCTGTGATCTGAAGGCATGATATTGTTGGTCAATAACTACACTAATGCCAATGTAGAGGCTAGAGCTACTCTTAGTAAATACATAACTATTTAAGAACATGAGCATCCAAGGATAAATAGGAACAATGACCAATTAAGTGACAACTTCATTAAATGCTTTAACTTACAACAACTTCGTCAAATGCATAACATACTGGAGAAACCAAATTTTAATGAAAAAGTTATTTTCCCCCATTGCAACCAGCTAGTCCAAATCTTACACTTAAGTATGGCGATCATGATCGGTCTTGTATTTCTCTTCATGGCTCCCAATGACAATCTCCCCTTAGTCTACTTTCAAATCAGCCCAATAACATACTGCAATCCTCTAATCGATCAAATCTAGAATACTATAAAACTGAACCCTAATTCCTAATTCCTAAACCCCGCGTCCACGCCCGAATCATCTGCTTCAGTTCGTTGCGGTCCAGATTTCAACCCTAATTTCAACAATAATTAGGAAATCACTCAAATTACGAATTTCCTAAAGCCATACCAGGATCAAAATCGAGACACCAAACCCATTTTTCTCTAATTTTAAGTAACAGATCTGTTGGAAAAAAAAAATAGAATAAAACCCATTTTCTATCTAAACATTTAAAACCCATATCAGAAATCAATTGATGTCTGAGAGGTCGGGAGTAGGAAGAGAATAATACCTTAGGCAAGTGATTAAATTGATGTCTGAGCGGTCGGGAGTAGGAAGAAGCGAAGAGCTGGGGGAGACCGGAGCGGGGAGTCGCTGAGTCGGGAGAGTTTATCAATTTAATCACTTGATGTTTGAGAGGTCGGGAGTTTAATCAATTCACTGGATCTTTTGATGTTTGAGAGAGGAGAGGAGGCAGTGGGAGAGAGAGAGAGAGAGAGAGAGAGATAGGGCTGAGGGACTTAAACAATTGAGTGTGGGTGGGCTTATACCCAAGATGAGGCCCAAGGCAATTGTCTTAGTTGCCTTAAAGGTAGGGCCGGCCCTTTAAGAATCCCAATCAACAGTGTGTTTGATAACTGTATTTTAACAAGTAATAATAAAGAAGAGGTCCGTGATTAGCATAATTGCTTTGATATTCTGATTATCGAGAGAATGATGATTAATTGAAAGATTGTTTGTTTAATACAGAGATAGTAATGATTATAATTTTTTTTTATTAAAAGTAATGATTCGAAAAAGTAAAGGAAAAGGAAAAAGGCAACGTATCCTCTTAAAAGACATACACCTGAAGTTATGCGAGAAAGCAGCTGTAGAACTTTAACCATTCTCAAAAATTAGTTCTTATCGCTATGCTTTTAATTCCTAAAATACATTTATTTTTCTATTTATAGTTTAACTTATTTATAACACTGTCTACTGAGGAACTTCTAATTAATCCCTAACACCGTTTGGCAAATGGTTAAGTGAGGGGTTAAGGAGACTTAACCCCTTCTTAACCCGCCAAACACAAAAAAAAATCTATACAAGAGTTAAAGTGAGTTAACCCTCTATAATTTGTCAAACATAAAAAATATAGAAGGGTTAAGCTAATCCCTCTAGAGGTATTAAAATGAGTTAATCCCTCAAAAGAAGGAGTTTACTAATACTCCTATTTAGAATGATTAAGAGTTAATCATTCTGATTATAAAAAAATAGTCAAAATTATTGTTATTCCCAAACACTACAAATGATTATAAGGGTTAAAATAAAACTTTTATAACGGGTTAATAATTTAGTCCTTCAGATTATCGAATGAGCTAACTATGTTAATCCTTCTCCTTAATCTCTTTTTTTAACCCTTGGCCAAACGGGGCCTAAGGTACCGTTTGGCAAATAGTTAAGTGAGGGGTTAAGGAGATTTAACACCTTCTTAACAAGTCAAACACAAAAAATCTATACAATGGTTAAAGTGGGTTAACCCTCCATAATTTGTCAAACATTAAAAAATATAGAAGAGTTAAGCTAACCCCTCTAGAGGGGTTAAAATGAGTTAACCCCTCAAAATAAGGGATTTACTAATACTCCTATTTAGAAGGATTAAGAGTTAACCCTTCTAATTATAAAGAAAATAGTCAAAATTATTGTTATTTCCAAACAATAAAACTGATCACAAGGACTAAAAAAACTTATTTAACGGATTAAGAGGTTCCCTAACACTAAAACTTGTTTGGCAAATGGTTAAAGAAGATGGGTTAAAAAGAAGGATTAATGTACCTAGCCATTTAATAATCTGAAGGACTAAATTATTAACCCGTTAAGTAAGTTTTTTTAGTCTTTGTGATCAGTTTTAGTGTTTCGGAATAACAATGATTTTGACTATTTTCTTTATAATTAGAAAGGTTAACTCTTAATCTTTCTAAATAGGAGTATTAGTAAACCCATCATTTTGAAGGGTTAACTCATTTTAATCCTTCTAGAGAGGTTAGCTTAACCCTTCTATATTTTTTTATGTTTGGCAAATTATGGAGGGTTAACTCACTTTAACTCTTATATAGATTTTTTTGTGTTTGGTAGGTTAAGAAGGGGTTAAGTCTCCTTAACCCCTTACTTAACCCTTTGCCAAACGGTACCATAAAGTTTAATTACTCAATTAAATTACACGAGATTGCAAAATCCCGTGTAGTTTAACTCAAATAAACTTTGTTAAGATATATAAGTGGACCTAATTGTCGACTAAACTATATGGGATTGAGAATTTTGTGTATATTAATGTACATTTAAAGTATATGGGATTCCCAATCCTGTATATTTACTACCCTTATATTATTGGTCCTAGTTCAACTAACGTGACTAAATCTAAGTCAAAAATAATTAATATTTTGATAATGAGTCAAAATTAGAAAATAATTATTATAAAAAAGTCTATTTTAAAAATTTCTCTTTTTAGGAATACCGAAGTTAGTTTCCCATTGATAACAACTTACTTTATTATTAGACAATTGTCTTTCAGGGGATTCTCCTAATAAATAAGATGCCGAAAATATCTAGAATCTCTATTTTATGAAGGAAGGGGATAGAGTTAGAGGTCTCTCCTGTGACATATCACCCCTTCCAAAATGGCCTTCTGCTTGGTGTCCCCCTGCTCCTGGTTTGCTGAAGCGCAACACAAATGTTATTGTTCCTTTGGAAGGAGATATTATTGGTTTGGGAAGTGTTATTCGGGATTACCATGGACATGTGATTGATTGCTACTCTATTGGGATCATGGGTCCTATGTATGTGGATCATGCGGAGTTGTTGGTTGTCCTAGAAGGCGTTCGCTTTGTTCGGCGTATGAACTGGAGGGTTTCAGTGATGAAAATTAACTCGCTAAAAGTTGTCTCTTTGGTGGACTCTCCTTCTCCTTTTGTTTCCTTGGTTCCTATTGTAGATAAAGTTCATGCTGGTCTGACTGTTACTAGCTGCTCTAAAATTTTTTATGTAAGACGTACTGGTAATGATGCTGTTCATTTCCTAGCTAAGTTGGCTGACTATTTGTCATCTTGTTTTTGATCTGTTTTTGTCGGTTTGTTTTTGAGACAGAGTGTCGTTGAGGAGTTCAGTGTCGTTGAGGAGTTCACTGGTTAGCTTAACCTACCTGCCTTTAAAAAAAATATATATAGAATCTTCGGTTCCTATGGAAACCCCGGCGAAGCCGAAGTTTCTCTTTCGATCTCTCCCAAGTCAACTCCAACTCCGCACCGCCTCCTTTATAAATACAGCACCAGCATCCCCTCCTCATCTCAAATCTCGCCTTCTCTCTCCCTCTCTCTCTCTCTCTCTCTCTCAAAGCCAAAAAATAGAAACCTCTGAACTCTTTGTGCGTGTAGAGAGCCATGGCCGTGATCTCGGACTACGAGGAGGCCCATCATCAGCAAGAGAAGAAGCCTTCATCTTCCTCCGACGATGAAGCATTGGCCTCGATCATGGCCAAGAAAGGCGCGCTGCCGTTCCTCGAGGCGGCGATCGATCTCGTTCGGAGGAGGTCCGATCTGTTCGACGATGAGGCCTCGGTGAAGAAGGTGATGGCGGCGGTGTCGGCGGCGAAGAAGGCGGCGGATGCTGAGAAGAGGAAGAAGGAGGAGGCCGAGAGGAGGAAGAAGGAGGAGGAGGAGGAAAAGTCGGCGGCGGCGGATGAATTGGAGGTGGATAAGGAGTTGGAGGAGGAAAAAGAGGCGAAGGAAGGCGATGGAGAATCAAAGGGCAGGAGTAAGTCCCGTTTTTTCTTAACTAAAACCCTAGTTTCTTAGCCCTAGTTCTCTTATTTTGCCTGAAGAAATTTATTGACTAATCTCTTTTTATATGATAAATTGAATTAACTATGGTTTGCGACTCATGCTTCTCTCTAGACTTGGAATATGTGACCATGAGACTGCTGTGGTGACGAAGTTGCAATTTTTATATCATTTGGTATCTATTATAGGTCAAGCTGATTCAGGAATTGCTATTCCATGGTTCTTCGTTACAAGAATTTTATCTAAGTTTTAGGTAAACCTCCAATTGTAGAAGTTATAGTGCTTGCAACAGAAAGGGGACATGGTAACTTGCAGGCCGTAACCCTGATAAGGGTTTAATAAGTCATGAAGTAAGATTTGTAGTTACTAATTAACCATAGTTACTAAGTAACCATAGCTAAGGGTCCCAGTGGTAGTGTAATTTACAGGGCCTTATGTCATGTTGTTGGAAATTTTATATGCTCAGAAAATGACTTCTAATTGAAGAGTCGTGAACAATCGATGTAATTCATTTTATGATCACGGCAAACAACTGATAAATCTGAAGAGAAGTCAAACCTATTATTATGTGCGGGTGTTTTGTTAAAGATGACAAACTGAAACTAATTTTCTACTTGAGGTGTTTGTTTTGACTAAATCCATTTACCATGTATCTTGGTGGCTTTTCTAGTGCTACTTACAACAGCCTTGATTTTTGTTGCCTGGCATTTGTTGCATCTTGATCTCTCTCGACTCTTTTTTTTAACATTATAGCTTCTGGTCTCCCTATCTATCACCTGGGACACAAACTAAAAGACTTGATCGATATATATATATATATATATATATATATATATATATATATATATATATATATATATATATATATATATATATATATATATATATATATATATATCGCATTTCTCATACGCACTTCTGGCGTACGCATCCAGCCTGTTTCAACGAATGAGGGGGTCTTTTTGAAAAATTCCTCCGACAATTGAATGTGATCTCGTACCGTACTTGGCATCGAAAGCGGGGGCCTTTTTGAAAAAAAGTCACGCGAAGAGCTCGTTAATTGCGCTTTCTCGTGACCACTCTCTCTTCCCATTCCAAACCCTTAATCCCCAAAATAGAATCCCCATCATCGACCGCGAGATCCCCATCACCGCCGGAGTTGACATCCCCATCACGCCGCACCGCCCGACATCCCTGTCACCGTCGACCGCGACTGATCTCCGTCACCGACTTCCCCCAAATCCGTCGACGTGCCCATTCCTCCTCCGTCAGGCCACCGACTTCCCCCAACTCCGGCGACCGCGGCATCCCCATCACCGCCGACCGCGACCGATCTCCGTCACCGACTTCCCCCAAATCCGTCGACGTGCCCATTCCTCCTCCATCAAGCCACCGATTTCCCCCAAATTCGTCGACCGCGACATCCCCATAGTAATGGAAATATTGAAACTTTTATTAGCAAAGTGTTATTTTTGTGTGTGTGTGTGTTTTATCCTTACTAATATATATATTTGCAGTATTTTGATTGAGTGTGTTGTCCGTAGTTACTTAGCACTGTTAAGTAGAATTGCTTGTATTGGACTTGTACGTGTATATTTTTGTTTCTTAGAATTTCCAACTGTTAAGACGGAGAGGAAAGTTTGACAGGGAAATCTGAAGCATTAGATTTTTTTAAATTTTTTTTATAGAAATTGAACGATTCTGTTCTCTCTTAAATTGTTCTGCACTTCATACAAAATGAACCATCCAGCTCCCTTCTAATTTACCAAAGGCACAAAGCATGGTTTTCATCATATTGCAAATGAAATCTTTACTATATTACTCCGCAAAATGAATAAAACACAGAAGTATTCTTCACTGGTTTAAGGTAACGAAGTAAATTAGAGTAGGAAATGCTTGAAATGAAGTTGATAGTCGTACTAATGCAATAGTTAATGATTGTAGTGTTTCATATTAATGACAATGGGGAAAAATTCTTTTTACACTGGCATTGTACATTTGACTACAGTGAATTACAATAGGTAGCAAGGCAAATGTCATAACTGATTCCCCAAGAGTATTCACAAAATCATGAAAGGGATATATTGTAAGCTCATCCACTCAATGACCCAAATTATGCAAGCTTATCAAAATTACATCACATGTTTTTTGCAATGGAGAAACCAACAAATACCGCAACGATACATATTAGAAACACTAATATTGTAAACAATGAACCTAATACAAAAGCATAGATGGAGAAAATAGAAGTTTCCCCAAGTTTTTTATTGTTCTCATCCAGATTATGCCTCACTGGATATCTTTGTTCTTGAGCATAAACAGATGTTTGGACATGCCTCGAGCTGGATGCTGAATCACGAGCGAGTGTGTGCTTCTCCCATTCAATCAAAGCCTCTTCGTACGTTACATACCCTTTGTAGGAGGTATTTGGGAATTTATCTACCTGAGATTTGCATTCCTCCCGATTATTAAAAATACCACATCATCGACCTCTCTTCACAACATAAAAACTTTTTCTAGCCATGGATAACCTGAAAATACCCTAAGTTGGAGGGTAAACAAAATAAACAAAACATACTTATTTTTACATATGATCGGTTAGCAAGCAAAGTTAAAAAAAGTAATTTTGTCTACTACGATACATGATCCGTTCTTGATAGTTAGATCTTGTTTCCTTTTTCTTTCATTTTTACATATTTATTTTCAAAGTAATTTTGTATACTTTGTGTAGGATGAATCCAAACGCAGACCTGTTTTTCTATCCTTATTTCTTTGTAAGCTTACCTGCAATTGTGGGAAGCTTATGTGCCTTCTAAATACTTCTGGCACAATGAAAATAAGTTAATAAAAACTCAAGATCTACAAAGCCATTCAATTCTCTGTGTTGGAAGTTGGAACCTTATTTCTCAAGTAACAATATCCTTTTCCTGGTTGAGCAACAATGATAGAATAATATCACAAGTTATAAGATTTGATTGCCTTGCATCAGTATAAAATACAATGAGTAACATTTAACATTTCATTTGGGTCAGTGAACAAACATTTTCATTAAAACAATCGAGAAATACATATATAGCTTATACTCAGGCATACCCGAGCAAATACATTTTCTCTCAACTCATCAATCTATTTTGACAGTACCATGAAAACAAGAAATGATCAGCACATGACTCTCAACAAAAGTATCCACATCGCTACAAAGGCTCCTAAAGTTTTTCAAATACAAAGTTTCTCCCAAAACTTCAATTGGAAAGACATTTGCAATACCAAATCGATCTACATAACAAAATAAAAAATAATCCTAATCAAAACTCGTAAAAGCTCAGGATCGAGATATGAACTTACTTGAAATGAGTGTCAACTAATCTGAGTTGGGGATCTCAAGAGAGAGCTCGAGGGAGATCGGTCGCGGTCGGCGGTGATGGGGATGTCGCGGTCGCCGGAGTTGGGGGAAGTCGGTGGCTTGATGGAGGAGGATTGGGCACGTCGACGGATTTGGGGGAAGTCGGTGACAGAGATCGGTCGCGGTCGGCGGTGATGGAGATGTCGCGGTGTCGCGTGGGGGAAGTCGTGCCTGATGGAGGAAGAGGAATTGGAACGTCGAACGGATTTGGGGGAAGTCGGTGACGGAGATCGGCTCGCGTGTTCGCCGGTGGACGGGGATGTTGCTGTCGGCGGTGATGGGATGGTGACCTGCGCGGTGATGGGGATCTCGCGATCGGTGATGGGATTCTATTTGGGGATAAGCGGTTTTGAATGGGGAAGGAGAGTCGGGTCACGAGAAGGAATTAACGACTCGTTTGGCTGACTTTTTTAAAAAAGGCCCCGCTTTGATGCTAAAGTACGGTCACGAGTCACATTCAATTGTTGGAGAATTTTGCAAAAGAGACCCCGATCATTCGTTGAAACACAGCTGGATGCGTACGCAGAGTGCGTATCGAGAAATAGCGGCTAAATATATATATATATATATATATAATATATATATATATATATACTTATAATGATAGTATATTATATATATAATATATAATAATAATATGGTGGAATGTTGTTTATTGTGCCTTCTTTTTTTGTTCTGCATTAAAACCTAACAGTGCCAATGATATGCCATATGATGTGAACGATATGCCATATGATGTGAACTTCTTGACGATATTTTTTGTGATACCAATAGTTGGGCATTTTGTTGCTAAGCTTCTATCTTGCAAGAGACTGTTTTAGCCATATGATGTGAACGATATGCCATATGATGTGAACTTCTTGACGATATTTTTTGTGATACACCAATAGTTGGGCATTTTGTTGCTAAACTTCTATCTTGCAAGAGACTGTTTTAGAGCTCATACAGCCCTCATAAGAAGTGAGGAAGGAGGGGGGAAAAAAAATTAAAATTGTCTTAGCTTGTTTTACTGTTTGACACAAAGATCTGTTGCTATCCTTTACTTTCATTGTGCTTTTGTTGATCCTGGCTATTTTGTTTGATTGCTGCCTTGACTCAGTCTTTATGATTTGAAGATCTATGTCTGAGTGTGAGGGTCAATGTACTTCTGTTGGTTACATGTCCTTTCTTGTGAAGGCTTCAGCTACGTCATTGACATGTATTTATTTTGATGTTTGGTTATTTTGGACATATTATAGGATTTTGCAGCTGTAATATGTCTAGCTTTCAAATTGTTTCTCTTTGTAGTCTTTGAAGAAAAAAAAAGCATAGTGATTCCTGGAAGAATGGCCTTTCATTCTAGAATTTAAACCTTGCAAATAGGAATATGTGGGGAGTTTCATTATATAAGTAAATGGGAATGACAAACAATGTTACCTGTGCCATAAAGTCCTGCAGGGAATTTGATACTTCTTCCTGCACATGTTTTAGAAACATTAGTGATGCCTTAGGATTAAGGTTGTTTCTCTTTCAGTGCTCATTAGTTTGTATCTGTATCTATCAAGGTGTAAGACATTGATCCTTCTTCTTTTATGCAAAGTATATCCGTAAGCACCACAATTTCTACGTATTGTGTCTTCCTTGATCCTTCAGAAGGATTAACAATAAATTTTTTGATTTGGTCAATGAAGCACAAGCTGCTGAAATCATTTCGCTAGATAGGGGAGGCTAACAGCAGTCTAGAGGGAAAAAAAGAAGGTTGCACAAAAGGCAATTAGCATACAGCTACACGCAAAGCAAACAATAAAGGAATAAGGAGATCGTTAGATTTTTCAATGTGCATAATATTCACTGCTAGAAATTTGCTGTGATATCTTTGAATATGACCTTGTTGTAGAGCCTTAAGACAAGCTGCAGTTCTGCTACCAAACCAATGAGTTTCCTCAGAAGTAAATCTGCCCAAATATTCGGTTGGGGCAGCTGATTTTTCCTGTTTTATGTGTTGAGCTTCTTCCCATTTTTAAAATTGCGTTGTAGAACACGGGGATTATTATTTGTGGTTTTATGCAGACTCAAAAGTATTACAATTACTGTGTGAAAATATATCACTGAATTGATAACTCATAGCATGAACATCTTTATTAAATTTAAGTGCCACATCCTATGCTGTGGTGATTATAACATCCTTTCACTTTGTGCAGAGCCTAACGCTGGAAATGGTTTGGACATGGAGAAATATTCTTGGACGCAAACACTTCAGGAGGTTACAATCAACATTCCAGTCCCTCAAGGAACCAAATCAAGGTTCGTAGCATATGAGTTGAAGAAAAACTATCTGAAAGTTGGGCTAAAGGGGCAGCCTCCAATAATTGATGTTAGTAGCAATTGTTTTTCGTGATTTTCCCATCTCTCTGAATGTTGCTAATTTCTTCCAAATTTACAGGGGCAACTTCATAAATCAGTCAAGACAGATGATTGCTTCTGGAATATAGGTATGCATCCGTAGCAATCGAAAGTGTTTTAGCTGAAGGAGTATACTATAATTTCATAATGCAGAGTTTCCTCCCCCTGAACTATTATATCTTTAATCAACTAAAATTGAATCTGCAGAGGATGGTGAAGCCATCTCTATACTGTTGACAAAGCAAAATAAAATGGAATGGTGGAAGTGCTTGGTGAATGGTGATCCTGAAGTTGACACACAGAAAGTTGAACCTGAAACTAGCAAGCTCTCTGATCTAGATCCTGAGACCCGGCAAACTGTGGAAAAAATGATGGTATCTCTTTCTAAATATTATGCTGAGAGTTTGCACCTGCTATTTCTTTTTTTCTTGGGTCAATTACACAGACTCCCTATGAGTATCTCGCTTTTGAACTTATCCTGTAATTTGATTTTGGTAGCTTCCCTTGGGTGAAATTTTGGCGGATACTATTCATGGATGGTAAAAGAGCCCCAAAAAAAAAAAAAAAAAAAACGCATGGATGGTAAAAGAGCCCCAAAAAAAAAAAAAAAAAAATCCGCTCAGGGGATTTATCTGTCAAAATCAGACTAGAGGAGTAATAGGTTTCAAAATGCCATACTGCCAGGCTATGTACGTGCAATTTGACCCTTTTTTCTTCCATTTTTTTTCTTTCCTTTTCTTATATGGTTCTTTCCATTTTTATCTTGTTAAAATGTCATTTTCACTTCCATTTGGCAGTGGGTCCTTGCTGTTCTTGGACTTAGTTTCAGTTCTTTTCACTTGCAGTTTGATCAGCGACAGAAAACGCTGGGCCTTGCAACAAGTGATGAGATGCAGAAACAAGAAATGCTTAAAAAGTTCATGGCTGAGGTGAGATTACTAGTTTCTGTAACCTTGCTCATCTCTTTGAGCAGTTATCCATCCTAATAAGCCTTTCTTTTTTAACTTTGTCGCCTTGCTTTTATGTCGCAGCATCCAGAAATGGACTTGTCCGGGGTGAAGATGGCATAGATATACATCGTGGATTCTGATCAGAAATCTTCCTTCCTATTTCTTCTTCTTCTTTTTCTTCTTCTTCTTCTTTTTTTCGGGTTCCCTGTGCTGATTGGCTTCTCTTTTTTTGCCCCAATTTTTGATTATGTGAACCTGAAATAGATTCTTTGAAGGCTGATATTCGTGGAATATCAAATATTTTGTTAGTGAATTTTGGTTGTTTGGGATTGATATGCATGTGTATGAGGGTGAGGTACATGATTTGTGGTTTCAGTTCATTCGGTGGTGGTTCATTGACCACTCTTTTCATAAAAAAAAAGGACTTGGGTTTATCTTTAGTTCTTCCTTGTGCAAGTAGTCCTACGAAGAGAAGAGGTTGACAGCAATTGGCGTTTGAAGCTGCAGTCTTTGAGGCGTTGATCTTGGTTGGGTGTCAACCAGGAAATTTGTAGTGGTTGTTTGGATTGGGGCTAATGGGTAGGGATTACGTTAAGCTAATTTGAGAATTTATTTGAGGTAGATAATAATGGGGAAGTTCAGACAATGGAGGGGGGGAAACGCTAAGATTTTGGTTTTCCCTACATTGGATGTAAGATGTAATGGAAGAGAAATGAACTCTTGAAAAAAGAAAATGTCACCCGAAGATAACTTACCGTTTCAAGCTGATATCCAAAGGGGGCTAAAATAACATTAATCTTATGAGGGTTGCTTCTGTGCTCCACAAATAGGTCTTTAATTAAACTTTATTTAATTTCATTTTTGAGGTAAAATACTACCTTATTCTATCTTCTTCTTCTCTTCTGCTACAGAACCCACTTCTCACAATCTTTTTTTTTTATTATAAAAAAAGAACCTTAATAATGAAGAAGGTAGAATTCGAGCGCAGAGTTCATATTTTCTGATCATTAATTCGGTAATCAATCTAGTTGGGTTAAAATTAGCAAATAGTTGTTTCTAGGGTTCCAAGAAAAAAACAGCTAAAATAAAAATCTAAAGTCAACAACAGAAGCAGCGAATTAAGCAACACAATGATCTCAAAGTGAGAAGACGATCTTGGCCAGACCTCCAGCATGGTGCTGTGGACGATCAAGGGTCATGAGGCACTGGATCGCAACACAAGCATGTGAGATGATAAATAATAGGGGAAAATGCTTCCAACCCCTAAAACCCAAGAAAACGTGCTTCCTCCTAAGATTTTGTCAACGGGTGCTTTGCCCTCAAAAATAAATATTTTGTTTTCTAAGCCCCAAAAACACAAAACCCAAGAGATTAACATATGTGAAGACCATAATACTCTTCTCTCTCTCTCTCTCTCTCTCTCTCTCTCTCTCTCTCTCTTTATCATGATGTTACTGATAGTTGAAATGATTGATGAGTATTGTTATTTTATTATTTTTATTTTTTATTATTTTCGTTGTCTCTCTCTCTCTCTCTCTCTCTCTCTCTCTCTTTATCATGATGTTACTGATAGTTGAAATGATTGATGAGTATTGTTATTTTATTATTTTTATTTTTTATTATTTTCGTTGTTGATGAGAGGAACTAACTGTTTTGTTTGTATTGAGAGATTGTTAAGGTTACGGGTTTCATTGTTAAGATTACGTGTTTAATTGTTAATGTTACGGCTTTAATTGTTAAGGTTACGACTTTTATATAGTAAGACTCCTATCAACTTAAGTTGATGTCCACCAAACTTCATAGTCACTAATTTATTAATATAAAAAATATTTTCATATCATGCAAGGATCCTTAGGCAATATGAGTGGCTAAAAATTTTGGTGGACAACTTTTTGCTATTCACTTAAGTTGACACAAGTTTTGCTCTCTCTCTCACACTAATTTATTAATATAAAAAATATTTTCATATCATGCAAGGATCCTTAGGCAATATGAGTGGCTAAAAATTTTGGTGGACAACTTTTTGCTATTCACTTAAGTTGACACAAGTTTTGCTCTCTCTCTCACTATATATATATATATATATATAGAGAGAGAGAAATATGGGTATGCTTGGTACCAAGCACAAATTTTGTGCTTGGTAGTGATGTGTCACATTTTGGTTACACCCAAAAAAATAAATTTTAAAAAAAAGGAGCATGAAGAGAGATGTTGATCTAGCTTCAAAATTTCTAAAAAAGATTTTTGTCACAACTTTAAAATCGTACCAAACCCCCAATTACTTTTGCAGAAAATCCTTATTATCTTCTGGGTAAATCACACAGAATCTCTCATAACTTTCGAAATGTCTTTTTATATTGTTTTTTCCCCCTGATTTGTGGGGTTATCTGTAAATTTTATTGGGGATTTTCTGCAATTCCAAAAGTTATCGGAGAATTAGTGCATTTTGAAAGTTTGTGGGGGTTTACTGCAAAATCTCGAAAGTTGCGGGGACCTAGTGTAGTGTGCATTGCTTTTATCTCTCCACGGTGAATTAGGGACCAAACCTTATAATGACCTTATAATGATTGGTAATAACTGTACGTACGAATTATACTACTCTTGTATCAATACAAGTAAAAAAGCAGGACATGTATTTTTGTAACTTGTAGAGAGAAATTATGAATTACTACGGAGCGCCCAATTTATCGTGTCTAGTAGTATAAAAATAGTATAGTATAATTACCGCTTAAATTGTTGCCGCTGATATGAGAAATATTAGGTGGACGTCTCTCCAGTGGCCTTCACACGAAAGCCTGGCACTTTTGTTCCGACCAACGTGTTACATGCTTTTTTTGGTGCTTCAGAAACAAACGAAAACAGACCAAAAAAATAAAGGCAGGGGACCAGCCTGTCCTTTTTTGTTTCTCTCTCGATCGAGTTGACGAGATGCAGAGGTTCTCCCTAGAAGTTACAAATAAATTAAAGGAAAATGTTAATATGTTCCCAAGCTTTCAAATCTTCTTGATAGACCCTGTAAATGGCAATAGAGAGAAAAAAAGTCAGGTATAAAATATTTCACCAAGGCACAAGGCCAAGGGGATATATCTGCCAACATGAAACTGCATGCGTCGAAAATAAAATATATATATATGGAGATGAAAAGATGAAGTAAACTTTTAAACGTAATTCTTTTATGGACTCCAAGATAAAGATATAACTACTCGATTCTCTTTAAATTGCAGGCATAATCTCTAGAAAATTAAATAGAAAAAAATATATATATAGAGGTTTTTCTTTCTTGACCCATATATATGGGAAATGTTTTCCTAATGTGACACCTTAGATTCCCACCTAAGGACGCGGCCTAAAATCACATCATTCCCTAATTCTTTTTTGCGATCCGTTCTGTTGAAATCTACATGTTCTTAAACCCTATATATACACCCCTTATTCACTTTCGGAAAATATACAGAAACAATTCTCTCTTCTTCCTCTTCTCTCCTCTATATATTATTTTCGTTCATATGTTGGTATTATTTTTGGGCAATCGTTCTTCGTCTGAGCTGAAGCTCTGTTCTCTCGTCCGAGTACAGAGGCTGGCCGCTTCCGGGGTTTTTTACAGCTAGGTGAAAGAGGATCATCTGTGCCAGGGCGATAGGCGGGTCCTCAATCTTCTAGGGCAGTGTTTTACACGACTGCTTCCAATCAGGCTAGAGTTTCTTATTATTTTATTTCGGATTTATTTTACATGCCATAATTTTATTTGATATTTTTTACAACAGGTTCAACATAGAGGCGGTGAATTTTCAATTATTTTCATTGATTTTTCCGTAGAACAATGAGTTTGTCCCACGTTGTCTCAAATACCATATGAAAATAGCATATGATCATAAATTGAGGAGTTGTGGTTCACAATCATCATCATACCCATATAAGCAAACGTACAGTCCTCCTACATGCGTCTGGAGGTTGGCTATCCTTTTTATTTTTGATTATTGTCTAAATGTTATATTTCTTTACTTTTTTGTTTTCTCCCTAGTTACTTTAAGCTGCATTACTTCACCAAATATGGTTAAATCTCAATCATTCTTTAAATGAAGATATCAGAAAATCCCATATATGTAAGATATTGCCAACAATGATGAGTGAGAAGCGAATGTCTTGCACTCATGTCACACATTATACCCGCACAAGAACATCAAAATTAAAAAGAAATTATGATAATGATATTTATACAATGTATCACTCTCTACTATAAAGATACTATTCACAAAAAAAATTTCAAGTCAATGGCTACATCATAATCAAAATAACTAGCATCCCAATATTTATGCAGAATAATAGTTTGCTAATAATCTCAATAGCACATAATGATCCAATGCAAACATTCTATGTGATACAAAGGATTTTGCAGAGAAGAATGCATTATAGGAAGAGTTTTACTTTTATTTATATATATTGGGTCATGCCGCGGATAAATTGCCTCAATTCAAATCAATTTGTATATATGCAGAGAATAACAAATAATATCTTCCATCATAAACTAAAAACATACCAGACAAAACATTGTGAAAATATTATTTGATTTTGGTGACCATTTAATAGATTTCACAAGTTAAAAAAAAAAAAAATCCAAAGTAGCGTGCTTTGCCTGTGTTGCTGAGACGGTCTAGCACTGAAAGAAAGATCCTTTGGCCATAACCAGTGGATTTGGCCATTAATTGGCTACTTGCTTACTTTATGATTGGTTATCTCCAATATCTTATTGTAACTCTAGAGCAAGTAAAAGAAGAAACGAAGAAGAAAAATTATTCTTATACTCCAGAACAAGTAAAAGAAGGAAAACTCTAAGAAGAAGAGAACTATTCATTTTGATGTAGTAATGAAAGCCATAAAGATAAAAAAATAATTGGTTTATGTATTTTCCTAACTTTAGTTTTAACTCCTTTTTAATCCTCCTGCAAGATAGTTCTAATGATCTTTCCTTGCTTTCTTTATGCGCTTCGCTATCTTTTCAATGCGAAAAACATGTTTAAAATTGATCCTAACTTATGTTATCCCTTGATATTTAAATCGGTCTCTTAAAGGTGATAATTGACTCAGAATTTCGCTTATATGGGTAATTTTTCTCTTCCTGAGTAAAGAGAGTTTCTCTTATTTTTATCCTATAAAAATCTTATTATGATTTGATTGAAGCTGGAAGAAGGTGGTTTTGACAGGTGTTTAAAATTGACTCAGAATTTTTCTCTTCCTGAGTAAAGAGATTTAGAGGGGGAAATTTTGGGATTTTTTATCAGACAACTTATAGATTTACCCTTACCCTCCTCACCCAACCCTAACCCTAACCCTCCCCTTAACCCTAAAAACCCTCACATAACCCCCGACCTCGCCCTCCTAATTCGCAAAAACCCCCTTCACCCCATACCCCTAACCCTCACCCTCGCCATACCCC